ACAGCCCTTACCTCCGAAGCTCAAGCAATTCTCCTGCCTCAGCCTCCCAAGCAGCTGGGATTACAGGCACGCTAATGTGCCACCATGCACCCCGCTGATTTTTAATTTTCTGTAGAGAACAGGTCTCACTATGTTACTCAGACTGATCTCAAACCCCTGAGCTCAAACAATTCTCCCACCTCGGCCTCCCAAAGTGCTGGGATGACAGGCGTTAGCTACCACATGCAGCCTATATTCCCAGTTCTTACCAAAATAACTGATGAAATGTTCACTGACTGAAATATACAAACTATGGAAAGTGACAATATTCAAACTGAAGAAATACAGAAAAGCATAGAAAAAGAGAAAAATATTCTGTGTAATTAAACCCCAAAAGACTAAAAATTATTAATGAAAAGATGTAACAAAATAAGTTCATCAAAAGATAAAAAACAGATTAATTCCAGAAAGGGCACAAAAATCCATACAGTGTGCAAAATGATGTTCAATTCTGCTAGTAATTAAAGAGAGTTAAGAAGCTGCTAGACCAACACACAGTAATAAGGCAGTCCTAGAACTGGCAATATGACAGAGATGGAGGAAAAATATGCAATTTAAGAAAGATGGAAAGAAATACCAAGAAGTTAAAGATGACAGAATCATGCCTGAGTGAACGTTAACAGCAGTGCCTTTAATAAAAGATCATCTTTCCTGACACAGTTTCTCTAGATGAGCACCAAGGTAGTAAAACAAAGAAATAATGCTTCTCTATTAATTTGATATAATAATTTAAGAAGGTATTTTAACTTAAACTTTAAAAAAAAGAATATGTATAAATCTTTAGACTATCACCTCTCCAGCCCAGTAATCTCTCTCGACTTGAGGCTCAGAACACGTTAAGGGGCAAGGGAAACAATTTGCAACACCACCAACAGCACAGCAGCAGATGGGCTCTATGCTATTAGCAGTTTCTGATTTCTTAAGTTACTCAGATCTACATCTCTCTGAAAACAACAAAAATGATGGACAAAATAATTTAAAATATTAGCTTAACAGCATTTTTAAAACTGGTCATTAGAGAAATGCAAATCAAAACTACATTGAGATACCATCTCACGCCAGTTAGAATGGCGATCATTAAAAAATCTGGAGACAACAGATGCTGGAGAGGATGTGGAGAAACAGGAACACTTTTACACTGTTGGTGGGACTGTAAATTAGTTCAACCATTGTGGAAGACAGTGTGGCCATTCCTCAAGGACCTAGAAATCGAAATTCCATTTGACCCAGCAATCCCATTACTGGGTATATATCCAAAGGATTATAAATCATTCTACTATAAGGACAAGTGCACACGAATGTTCACTGCAGCACTGTTTACAATAGCAAAGACCTGGAACCAACCCAAATGCCCATCAATGACAGACTGGACAGGGAAAATGTGGTATATATACACCATAGAATATTATGCAGCCATCAAAAATGATGAGTTTGGGTCCTTTGTAGGGACATGGATGAACCTGGAAACCATCATTCTCAGCAAACTGACACAAGAGCAGAAAATCAAACACCGCATGTTCTCACTCATAGGCGGGTGTTGAACAATGAGAACACATGGACACAGGGAGGGGAGCACTACACACTGGGGTCTGCTGGGGGGAAATAAGGGAGGGACGGGGGCGTAGGGAGGTGGGGAGAGATAGCATGGGGAGAAATGCCAGATATAGGTGAAGGGGAGGAAGGCAGCAAATTACACTTCCATGTGTGTACCTATGCAACAATCTTGCATGTTCTTCACATGTACCCCAAAACCTAAAATGCAATTAAAAAAATAAATAAATAAATAAAAAGATAGAATTGGATATTTAGAGTACCTTTTATAAATAAGAGTAGATTAAAACATTTTCAAAAGTAAAAACATTGGGAAATTTGATTACCAGTGGAAGATTGTTAAGAGTATGCTTCAAGACAACAAAAATATCTTTTCTACCTAGGTTAAATGAACGTAAGTGTGTAAAAGTCGTGATAGGGGAATATCAACTCATGGTGGACACTGAACTAAAGAAATTATATAGTCCTAAAATGCATCCATTTCAAAGGTATTTAAAGGTAATCAAAGTGTGATTCCAAACATTTTATTTAAATCGGATAAAATAAATTTGGAAAAAAAAAAAAAAAAAAAAAAAAAAAAAAAAAAAAAAAAAAAAAAAAAAAAAAAAAAAAAAAACAAGTAAAAGAGATTACAATGGCCAAAATTTAAAATTCAGTGAGAGTAAGACAAAACAGAATAGACAAATAACAAACTGGGAAATGGCTCAAAACAAATAATCTGTAACTTAGCAGAGAAAGAACAAAAAAGAAGGAAAACACAACTTGAGGATGAAAACCGAATGACTAAGAAGACCTAAAATATAGCTAACTAACATCCCAGACAGAGAGGAGAAAGAACAGGTAAAGGGAAGTTTAGAAGCAATAATGGCTGGGAATTTTCCAGAATTAGTACAAAACACCAATCTACAAATTCAAGAAGTCTGGTGAAACTCAAGCAGGATAAATAAGAAGAATTCTACTCCTAGACAAACACAATATTTAAATCAAACAGAAGAAAAATAGAGTATCTAAGAGCAAGGTGGCTATCTTACCTTCAAAGGAGCTACAATTAGACTAACAGCTGATTTCCCCACAGCAAGAGGAGAAGACAGAAGACAGCAGTGATGTATCTTAATATGCTGAAAGGAAGTACAGTTGCCAACCTAGAATTCTACATCCAGCAAAAATGTCTTCCAATAAAGGAGACAATCTCTTTTCTTCTTTTTTTTTTTGGATGAAAAGGTATAGCATATAGTAATAAAACAAAAAAACCATATTTTACTTGAAACTAATGCAACATGAAGACAAACATGTATGGAAAGACGAATATTTAATGTTTTCTTGTATGTCTCCTTCACACTTATAAACACAAGATTTTTTTTATTCCTAATTGCTTACATATATAATTGAGTCATGGTTCTTCAGTAGATGAGTAGACCCAAGGGTGATGGACCATTTAAATGTTTTGTTGGGTCTACCATCTACACACTCTCACCATACTTTGCCCAGTTTGGCTGAGACAGTCAACAGTCCACAACTGAACACCTAAGATCATAATTCACTTTTACCCAAACGTATTTGAAATTTTATTTCAATAATTTAACATTAAATATTATATTAACAAACTTTCTGCTCTTATATTACTAAACCTCACCAACAGTAAATATTTAATGAATGACAGGCAAAACTTCAATGAGTGGTAAGGATGCTTTCACAACTGAAATTTGTGCCCACCACCACCCCACTTTCCCTATGAGCTAAGTTAAACTGACAAAAGTCTTTGAAATTTGCAACTGTTTCTTTAATTCCAACCTATTTATATCAAGCACCCAGTTAACTGGCAGAATGCCCACTTTTTCACACAGTTTTCTCTTACTGAGCTTCAAATTTTCTTCTTTATGACATCTCCCTTATGTTATCTACTGCAATAACCTTTTGGTGCACAATTAAAGGCCTCTCAAACTCAATCTTCTTTGAGGCTCCAACTGGCAAATGTTTTCCAAAAAAAAAAAAAAAAAAAAAAAAGATGTAATTTCCTTTTCCATTTTTACAATGTAGCCCGCTAGAAAACTGTTCAACTTAACTTGGTTCTACATTTCTAAACTATGCGCATCTTGGGTATTTTCAAGATCATTCAAAGAGCGGCAGCTGGACTTCAATTCATGAAAGATATAATGATGACTGAACTCTTCCAGGTCAAGCAGCTAACAGTAGTATAATACAAAAAAAAAAAAAAAAAAAAAAAAAAAAAAAAAAAAAAAAAAAAAAAAAAAAAAAAAAAAAAAAATAAAAAACAAAAAAAAAAAAAAAAAAAAAGCATGGCTTTCTTTAGCTGGAGAGCAAAGGGAGAAACTTGCTTAAAGTCAACATGAACCACTGAGGCACCCATGTTTATTTAAGCAAATGGAGAGCGAAATAAGTGTAAGGAAAAATAAGTTCCGAAAAATAAACTGATTCGTAGCAATTTTCTCTTATGGATCATAGGAAATGAAATCTTTGGCAATTAAGTTTTAATAAGTCAGGTGTTACTAAATTTATATTTCTATCATATATTACAAATTCATATGGATGGTAGAATACCAGCTATTTCTTTTACCTGGGAGGAAGGGAAGGGAGGTCTTTATTCTAAAGATGCTCAAATATATATATTGAGCAAATATATATAACTGAAAATGTTAGAAGTCAGCTCTATGGCTTTGACAAAGGTGTCCTGTCTGTTGACCGAATTCAATATTTTTAGTTCCTCAGAAAATTATTCAGACATTTAAAGTTGCATTTGGCACATGATATTCCACCCACTGGAGTAACTCTGCTACCTCCTTTCTGCCTTATCTTTTAAGTTGCTGTTCACAGCTGCCAGATAAATGATGCCTTCCTACATTAATCCAGCCCATGGCAATGCCACTTTTTCCCCCATAACTCTTACAGACCATATTAAACATTCTAACACCAGATTATCTGACCTTGTTCTCTGTTTCCTGAAAACAGTCATTTCCTGCTCTCTTCAACTATAAACACGTTAGTGCAAATCTTCTACAACATAATGTTGGATACACATAAAGCATTTATTAAATATTGGCTATAAAATAATATAAAGGACAACAGTGGTTCCAAGATTTCTATGCAGGATGCGCTTAGGAGTGGGATTTTGCTAGAGGACTTACCTTTTTTTTTTTTTTTTTTTTT